TTTTTTTTTGAAGTTGTGCTATAGGGCACGTGTGCTTGCCTGAGAGAAAGAAAGACAGAGAGAAGGAAAGTGAGAAATCACCCCCTCCCAGGAGGGATGGCCACACCACAATCCCTTCTCCATACTTTGCTCAGGATTTGGGCCACACACACCTGGTATGATTTTCAAATCACAGGATCCAGGACTTGAACCATGCAGTCAGCCATGTGGATTGCACCACATTAACTACTACACCATCGGCTGGCCCTATGTTGTTGTTGTTGTTGTTTCTAAATATTTTCAATATTAAATTTTCAATATTAAAGGTTGAATGGCAGGTTAAAGGAACAGATAGAGAACCCAGGGACACAGAAAGAGGGTCAACTGTATTATGTTTTATTTTCTAACTCTACATTTGTATATTGCAATATTTTCCTATTTAATGATAACAGTAATGCACTTCAATGCTATGAATATACCTCTGGGTGCAGCTTTGGCCTCATCTTACCAACTTCATTTCATACTTGTTAATTTATTTTTCTACTTTTTATTTATTTATTTATTTATTTATTTAATTTTTGGAGAGGTTTTTGCTATAGGGCACGTGCGCTCGCCAGACAGACAGAGAGACAGAGAGATAGAAAGCGAGAAATCACCTCCCAGGGGGGATGCCCACACCACAATCCCTTCTCCTCCATTCTCCTCTCGGGATCTTGGACACACACGCACACGCACCCAGCGTGAGTTTTAAGCCACCGGGTCCAGGATGTGAACCGCGGTCAACTACATGGGAGTCCAGCGACATAGCCATTACGCTAACTGCTGGTCCCTACTATTTTGTTGTTGTTGTTGTTGAGAGAGAGATTTTTGCTGAAGGGCATGTGCACTAACAGAGAGGCAGAGAGACAAAAAGTGAGAAATCACCCGCTGGGAGGATGGCCATGCCACAATCCCTTCTTCTCCATTCTCTTCTCAGGATTTTGGGCATGCATGCACATGTACCTGGCATGAGTTTAAAGTTGCTGGGTCCAAGACTCCAATCACGATCGACTACGTGGGAATCCAGCAACATAACCATTACGCCAACTGCTGGTCTCTTTTCTACTTTTTTTTAAAAAAGATTTTTGCCATAGGGCACATGCACTCACCAGAGAGAAATAGAGAGAGGGGAAGTGAGAAATCACACCTCCCCCTAGGGGATGAGGATGATACTGCAATCCCTTCTCTTCCATTATCCTCTAAAGATTCTGAGCATATATATGCACATGTGTCCAGAGTGTATTTTCAGGTCACCAGTCTTGGACTTGAACTGCGGAGTTGGCTATATAGGATCCAGCACCTTAACCACTACGCCACTTGCTGGTCCATATGCTTGTTCGTTTCATTTCTCTTTTTTTTTTTTTTTTTTTTTTTGAATTTTTTTTTTTTGGGAAACAGCGGTTAGCTTAATGGATCACGC